TAAATTGTTCTTGAAAAAATAAGCCACTGCACCTCCCCTGAATATTGAGCCACCTCTAACGTCGCCACCCCCAGTAATTCTGATTCAACGCTTCGGCTTCAGATCAGTTAGAAAATCGTTGTCCAAATCATTCTCCTACACCAGCAAAACAGTGCCTCTGTGACCTTGCGATTTTTTTTTTCCTTTTCATGCATTTAAAAAAAAAATTTGGATTGTTCTTTTTCAAACAAAGTGCATGTGTACGAGTCCAGTGAAAAGTAAGTCTCCTCATTCTTCACTTCGTCCACGAATTATTCTCTCACCCCCCCCTCCACGAATTATTGCCAGTTTCCAGTGTATCTTTCTATGACAGTCCTTGTATAAACACTTACATGTATGCAAATATATTTCCACTCTTCTTGCAAAATACCTATACAAATGACCTCTTCCCTTCCTCTCTCTCACCCTCAGAGTCAAAACTGGAGGTGATAGATTTGCACTGATAGGCAATCTCCACTTTCAGGGAAGAATAGTATACATTCCTGGAGGGATATCTCTACTCACCCAGATCCTGTCCTTTTTCTCCCCAGCCCTCCATCCTGGCTGGGGAAGGTGGGAGATGTTTGGGTTGGTAAGAGAGGGCAAAGTGGTTCACTACTGTGGGATCCTGGGCTCTGTAAGGAAGCAGCCCTATTTTGACTTTAGGTTGGAAGGGCAGGGAAGCATCCTGGGTTTAGGAGTGGGAAAGGGGATTTGATTAGTAAATCCATTTGAAGGCTTTCTACTTCCATCTCTTCCCATTCTTATAGTCAGGATCCAACCTAAGTCACAAGCCAATGTAGTTAGAAAATTCAAGTTCATTGAAGGCAGAACTAAATCTTACTATGTTTGTGTTCCAAGCATACATCTTCTCCATAAATATTTGAATTGAGGTTTCTAATGGAGTGAAGTGGCCTAATTTGCTTTTTGGTTGTAAATTAAGTTGTATTCTTTCAACGCAGAATCATGTTATTTTCATAGAAGACAAATAGAAAACTTGGCCAAAATGAACCTCATTTACATCCAGAATCTCAAAGAACAGAGAGCATATGTGAGTGTACTAGGATATGTTAGTCCTCACAAGGTTGTGGACAGACATGGGCCCAAGACAGGACAAGGACCAGACTTAGAAGGAGGCAAAGCCCAGAAGGAAGCAGAGTTCAGGACGGAATGAGCATCCAAAGTCAGGCACAGACAGAGTGATGACACCCAGAGTGTACTCAGTAAGAAAAGTGAGGGCTAAGGACTAGGCCTTGGGATGAGCACACATTTAGGAGGTTAAAGCAGAAATAGAGGATGTGGCCTGAGAGAAAGGAAGAGAACCAGAACAGTGTCATTTAAAGAAAATTTTGGGAGAAGAAGATTTCGAGCACAGAGGAGTCAGCAAACTCAGATGCTGCAAAGGAGAAGAGGAATGAGACAAAATATTTGGGTTTGACACTTAGAAGTCATTGTTGATTTCTAAAACCTTCTGTGAGAGCAACTGGATAATGTGTTTCAAGAGTCAGGGGGAAAAAAAGTATATTCTTTGCTCTAACAATTTTACTTTTAGGGATCTTGCCAAAGCAAATAACCCTAAACTTGGAAAAGTTATCTACATAAAGATGTCTGTTTATAGAATATTTAGAACGGAGGAGAATTAAAATATCCTAAATGACCAACAAATAAAGTGCTGAACTAAACTAAGGTATATAATAACAGTCATTTTAATTTTTTAAAATAATAATCATTTTTAAAGTATAAAGTCAACTTTTAAATATATTTTTTTTAACTAAAAAGAGTAAGATTCCCTTAAAGAAATGACTGATTACAGATCTTCAGCCGGGGAAGTACAAGTTGAGTCTGGAATATCTTGTGTAACAAAGCAAGCCAGTGCTTAAAGACTGATAGGACCAAATCAAGAGGACACAGAAGCCTTCTGAAAGGGCTCCTATTGGACAAATTTGGAGCAATTTGATCATCAAAGAGAATATTGATAGTAATAGATTACATCACATAGGGTTAAAGAATTTTTGAGATCATGGGGAGAGAGAGGGAAAAAGAAGAAAGAGGAAGAATTCTTTACAGAAGAATGCCAGGTAATAAACACAGAAGTAATGACAGAAGTAGAGAGCCACCATTTTTGCAATCGCAGTGTAATAACAAATGCAAGCAGGGAAGCCAAAGCCACTTGGAAAAACCTTGTTGGGAGCAAATAGTAAAGAGGTCTTAGGAAAGCACACCAGAACTTACTTTAACTTGTCGTGTAGAGAGATCTGATGAATTCGAACTTAGCCAAGTGGGCAAGCTTGGCATCACCAATAAAGAGACAAATATGCACTGCTGGCCTCCCAGTGTGACACCCCCCCTGCATGGTGGTCTTTTCAAAACTGAAAAGTCTTTTCAAATATGTTTAACCTGAATCTAGTCATGAGGAAACTATGGAAGGATCCAGAATGTGGGACATTCTATATGACAACTGCTTTGGACGCTTCAAAACAATGCTATGTATGAAAACACAAACTAGCAATAACAAAAATGGGAACTGTTCAAGATTAAAGAGACTAAAAAAACTTAAATGCAATGGAGGAGTCTAGATGAAATTAAATCTATATAAATCTATGTAAATATATGTGTATATGATTTTTCAGAGAAAAATAGAAAAAATTCAGTATAGACTGAATTTTATCTATTTATCTATCACAATAGACAATATTATTGTGATAATGATCTTATGGCCCTATAGAAGAATTCCTTATTCTTAGGAAATTGCTGCTGAAGTATTTAGAGCTGAAGTGCCATGATATTGGCAACTTGCAATCAAATGGTTAAAAAAAAAAGGGGGGGGGGAGATAGAGCAAATATGGCAAAATGTTCAAAAAGAGTGAATCTAGGTGAAAGATATACAGATTCCTTTCTTTGAGCTGCTCTGTAGGTTTGCAATTTTTTTAAAAAGAGTTGGAAGAAAATAAGACATAACAAAAATAAATTATGCAATGTTAAGTATAGCTCTACAAAATAAGAACAAGAGAAATGTTCTTTATTCATTTCAACATTTGCTAGGCTCCTGCCACACAGCAGGCTCTGTACTAAGCGATGGGATCACTCTGTTCCCCTTCGGAAGCCTGGTTTTATGGTCATGCTTAACGTGCCTAACTTTCCAGACTTTGGATGTGGCCAATGCCACCCCAAGTCTCAGAGGACCCTTCTGTGACAGCTTCACCCCTGTTGTCCTGGGTTCCTAGCAAGGTGCCTGGCCCCATGAGGCATTCAATAAAGCCTGCTTCCAGGAGTCCACACTTTGGTGGGGAGGAACTTGCATTAACAAATCATTTAAAATAGGATTAAGGACATGGTGCACACAAGGTATTAGAGCATTTTAATTACCATTTAAACACTTACCATTATGATACCCTACCCTTCCTCATCTAACTTTATTTCCTACTCTTCCCTACTAGGAATCCTCCCCTTCTTTATGGCATTCTGGTTCCTACCCCAATGCCTTCCCTCAGCTCATGCTGACCTCCTAGCTTGGCATGAATGAACTTTCATTCTTTTGATTCACCTGTCCACAGCCTACCCAGCTCAGGTCTACTTTTACAATGTGCACAAGTCATTTTCCCAATTGTCGTTCACAAAGCCAGACAGAGTATGAGACATTTCAGTATTTCCTACAGCCCAGCTCATCAAAGTGTGGCGGGAGAACCAGCAGCATCCGTATCAGCTGGGAGTCCATTCGAGCTATAGTCTGGCACCCTACCCAGCCACAACCACGGAATCAGAAACTGCAGTTGAACAAGTTCCCCGGGGAGATTCATGGTCACATCAAAGTGTGAGCAGCACAGTTCTATAACACTAACTATTGTATGAATAAAGCAGAAGCTCAAATGTTTTGAGACCTGAGGCCCTCCCTGGGGATCCTACGGGGATCCTTAGGTTTGCCGTCCAGCTTGGAGCCCACTTCCTTGGTTCTTTGCTCCCTCAGAAGGCCGATATGAAGGTCAGCGTGAGGGAGACACTGAGGCAGTGTGCACCCGGTGATGGTGAGGTGAAGCTACTGCCTTTCCAGCACAGCCAAAGCAAATGTTGATGTCTGCTTCGCCGGTACATTTCTCTGGGGAGAAACTGGCTTTACTTCTAGGACCAAAATGCTTATCGCTTCAGCATCGGAGCCTCAGGATGAGAGGTATGCGGTTGACAACATTGGAACTGTTTCCAGCCTTGACTTATTGACTCCTCCTTTTCTCTTCTGTCCCTAAGCTGATTGACAATGAAACCCGGGATGTGACTTAGCTCGCTGTTTGCGTGTGCGCCCCGGGGGGCCTGCTGGCAGCCGGCGCTCCGAAGGACAACGGGCGTTTCTGCTGGGCTGCGGGCGGGTGAGGAGGGCGCGGGTGAGAGGGACGCGGGAGAAGCGGGACCTCTGGGAAGTTGATTGTCTGTGAAGGGAGATGTGCCTGTCTGGGAAGCAATGTGGGCTCCAGTGCGCACCAGGCGAGCAGTGGGATGGGAGGAGGCAGGCGAGGCTCCCACAAGGGAGGGTGTCGTTGCAGACACATCCTAGACACAGCCCCCTTTTCTCGCCCTCCGCAGCTTTTCCTCCGCGGATGTGATTTCCCAATGAGGGGGCCTTGGGGGAGGGAGGGGGAGGGACGGAAGGTGCCCGAGAAAGGGCTCTTCTCTTGGCGTCGCCCGCGAGCCGGCAGAGGAGGAGGAAGAGCTGATGGGGACAGGTGCGCCCCCACCGGCGCCCGGGGCGACCCGCGGAGAATCCATCCTCAGCCCTGGACTCGCCCCCGGCCCAGGTGCCGCCTGAGTCCTCCCGGCTGGAAGCCCGCGCCACTCTCCGCCGCGGGGGGTGGAGGCTGGGAGGGGGCACCACCCCCTCCGGGAGCGGGCCGCGCCCCTCCTTGTCACCCGTGAGCCCCGCCCCCGGCCCCGCCGCCGCGGAGCCCCGCCCCTCAGAGCTCCGCCCCCGCCCCGCCCCCCGCCGCCGCGGAGCGGGCGCAGTCGGCCGGCCCCATGCTGCTGAGCGGAGCTCCGCCCGCGGGCTCCGGCCCCGGGCCGCGGGCTCAGGGCGGCGCGGGGGGCGGCTCGCGCCGGGGCGCCGGGGGGCCCGGGGCCGGCCCGGGCGGGGGCGGCAGCGGCGGGGTGGCCAGGTGGCTGCGGGAGCACCTGGGCTTCCGCGGGGGGAGCGGCGGCGGCGGCGGCGGGGGCAAGCCGGCGCCCCCGGAGCCGGACTACCGGCCGCCCGCGCCCTCCCCGGCCGCGCCCCCCGCGCCGCCCCCGGACATCCTGGCCGCCTACCGGCTGCAGCGGGAGAGGGACTTCGAGGACCCCTACTCCGGGGGGCCGTCCGGCTCCGCCGCCCCGGCCGCCCCGGCGGCCCCCGGCCCCGCGCCGCCCCCGCGCCACGGCTCGCCCCCCCACCGCCTCATCCGGGTCGAGACCCCGGGCCCCCCGGCGCCCCCGTCCGAAGAGCGGACCCCCGGACCCCCGGCCGGCGGCGACAGGGTGAGTGCCGGGGCGGGCGGGGGGCCCGGGAGCAGAGGCGGGCGGGGGTCTGGGGCTGTGGGGAGGGACAAAGGTGGCCCGGCCTCCCGGCCCCTCGGTGTCAGGGCTCCGGACGGGCCCGGTCTCAGTCCCTGACCCCGGGGGCTCGGAGCCTTCACCCACCACCTTTGTTCCTATTTCCCCACCTCCGAAGCCGGGACGCGTGCCCCAAACTCTGCCTCTGTCCCCCTGTCGTCGCCCCAGGACTCGGTGACCCTCCCCCGCTTGGGCTCTGAGCTCCTCCTCGCAGCCCCCTGGGACCTAATCAGCCGGCCTTTTTCTAACGGGATTGGATCCTCCTCACCCCCCTCCTTGGCCTTTCTGCCCGCTGGGAGCAGCAGCTCACTGCCCTTTGATCTCTGACCCCTCCCACCGGAGCAGAGCCAGCACAAAGCTCCACTCCTCACCCTCCTCTGGGAGCCCGGGCATCCCTGCAGGTGCTGGAGCCCCGGGAAGGGGTGGCGGCGGGGGTTTCTCCCCGTGGACACAGCAAGAGCTGGCCTCTGCCTCAGCCAGCCAGACTGGAGCTGGGTGGGCTGTTGTTCTCAGGAAACCCGACGGGCAGTGTGCAGCTCTGTGCTGAGGATGCTGACTACGGGGGTTCGGGCAGGTCCACTACGACCTCCTTCCCTTGTGCCCCTGGGTGTGGGGGCCGTCGGTGCTCAGAACCTGTTGCCCAGAAGGGGCTGAAACGCTGCTTCTCCTCCTGGCCTCTCTCCCTCTGTCCGTTCTGAGGGTGGCGGAAGCCCTGTGTGTCTGCAGGCTTGGGCGGATAGGAGAGCTGGGCAGCCCCTGTTCCAGAGAACTCCCGCTGTGCCTCAGCAGGCCCCGTGGAGAAGCCACCCCATGCCCAACCCTAGTCTGATATATCCCTCCCTGACAGCGGAAAGCTGTCCCCAGGTCCCTCTAGCCCTAAATTTTATGACTGTCTGGGCCACTCTGGATCTGCTGACCCTCTTCACTCCCCCTGAATAAGCTCAGCTCTGGGGCTTATTAACCCCCCCCCCCCCCCAACAGTTTTGTTGGGTTGGAGAGCAAAGTTGCTGTCCGAATCCACTGGCTCCAGGGTGGAGGCTTTCAGCTGAGAGAGTGCCATTCTGCCTGGTTTCCTGGGTAAGGGAGATGTGTCAGGGTCAGAGCAGAAGCCTCAGGAATGCGAATTATGTTTTCCCTAGTTCCTGCCATGGGGCACGACTGCCCATCCTGAGTTAGGGAGTAGGCTGTGCTGTCTTCACACGTCCTTACCATAGTCTTCCTTTTTCCTGGTTGTCCCTGCTATTGGGTGATGTGATGGTGGTGGAGTAAGGCACAGAGAGTGTTAGGTCTTGTTTTTACCATTAAAAAATTTTTGTTGTTGTTGTTAATTTGAGAGAGAGAGAGAGAGAGAGAGAGAGAGAGAGAGAGAGAGAGAGAGAGAGAGAGAGAGAGGGAGGGAGAGAGAAAGAGAGAAACATCAATGGTAAGAGAAAATTGATTGGTTTCCTCCTGCATGCCTCCTACTGGAGATAGAGCCCTGATCAAGAATGGAACGGTGACCTCCTGGTTCATGGGTCCATGCTCAATCACAGCCACACCAGCCGGGCTTGTTTTCAATATTGACCAATAGTGTCCTCCTCCCCGTCTACACCCATTCACACATAGGCCGGAGCTGTTCCTGGCCCTCTTCGTCCAGATGATTTAACAGCCTTCTCACCAAGCTGTGGGCTCCTCCCGGACAAAGACCATGTTCTCCTCAAGTCTGTGTCTTCCAAATGGTGGACACCATTTTTGGCAAAAAGAAGGGTGCATAAATATGTCCTGAATGATGGCTGTCCGTTGCCGTTGTGGCCTGTGGGTCAGAGACTCCCCTTGTACATTTCACCACAAAAACCCCACAACCAGTCAGAGACCTGCAGCCTCCTCACTGAGGGCATCCATGCCTCACCCTGGGTCAGCTCTGTGATCTGTGGGCTGTTCAGACCTTGGGGGCCAAGAGGTGTCTGACTCCTTTGTCAGCTGCAGGGACAGGAATGAAATCCAGCAGGATATCCTGGGAACCACACAATCAGTGGCTTCTTTACCAGGATGCCATCCAAGATGGCCCAGGGGCAGGGATGTGGACCTGGGACTCCCCACCATTCTGAGAGAGCCGCTTCACCCCTTTAGGAGCTGTTTTGGGGACCCTAGAGTCTTCCCTTAGGAAGAGCCCTGATAAGGTACCTGAACCCCTTTCCCTAAATCCAGTGTCAGCCTATGCCTACAGAGCTCACTCTGCCCCTGAACAGGGAGCTGGCTCTGGCTCTGGAGGCATTACCGAGCCAGTTTTTCCATTCTGTGGCTGTTTTATTCCTATTCTCTGTTCTCCCTCCTCTCGGCCCTGCAGATCCTCTTGGCTTGTTGCTTTTGGGTCACTGGTTGAGGTGAGGTAGGCACTGGGGACCAGGATGTGCCTTGGGCTGGCCAGTTCCTCTCATCCAGGAGCCCAGTGGCTGGTGCTGGGTGGGTCACTGTCTAAGGGGCTGGTTTGTGAGGTTTGCTGAAATGGGTGGAAATGCCTCTGTGATGAGCCAGAGAGATTGAGGGGAAATGAGTTCAGTGAATATGGGGTAGGAGAGAATGGGGACTTAGATAGAACCCTGAGAGACCCAAGGGGCTCAGGACCATTAGCTTTCTCCCCGGGCAGGGCTCTGGCTGTTGGCCCACCCTGAGACCCACTGCTGCAGTTGGCAGGGTACACGGGTGGCCATCTGGGCAGGCCTGGCAGGACAGGCATGGGAGCAGCAGGAGCCGAGCCCTGCATGGGATGGGAAGGCAGGGACTCGCCATCTGGCCGAGAAAGAGCTCCCGCTTGGTGTTGGACCCTTTCTGGCCGCCAGGCCTTGCTCTGACAGAGGTTAGAGGGCCAGGCCTTCCCTTGCTTTGCTCCCTTTTTCTCAGACCTTCAACAGGAAAAACCTGGTCTAGGAAAGGGGGATGGGGATGGGAAAGGGGCCTGAATGGATAAAGCTCTGAGCTGTCTGTGACCATCTGCACAGTGTGTCCTTTTCATCCATCATGCCAAGATATGCGTGAGTGTGTGTGTGTGTGTGTGTGTGTGTGTGTGTGTGTGTGAGAGAGAGAGAGAGAGAGAGAGAGAGAGAGAGAGAGAGAGAGAGGGAGGGAAATGTGATGGGAACAATAAGACAGGCATCCTGTATAAAGTGAAACTAGAGGTCTTATATTTAGCTTATGTGGGTGTTTCTGGAGTTCATGAACCTCCAGAAATTGTGCAGATATTTAAGTAAATGAGCATTTTTCTGGAAAAAGGGGTTCTCACAGGGGTTCACAGGGCCCAAAATATTAAGAATGTAAATAAAAATAGGTGTACCTTATAGTTGGTATGTATCCACAGGCCCAATTTTAGAATGAATGAACAGACAGTAAAGTGAAGGTGATATTTGGGTGTCTGAAATTAAACAAGACATGCCTCCCCTGGGGTAGGGGCCCTCCTTTACCGTGTTCATTGAGTGTGTGTGAATCATTCAGTGATACCTAGGCCCTGAAAGGGACTCACTACCCAGAAGACCTGGTACTTGACTTTTTTTGAGTCTGCTTGTTTGCCTTAATTTTCCTTGTTATGCCTTCCACAGAGCGCGGAGGTCTGACCTGTTTACCTAGCAATGGCCTCCTGTGGAAGTAGAGGGAGGAGGAGAGAGAGGTCCGGATCAGGGACCTTTGTGGACTGGTCAGACCTCTTAACCCTTTGTGGCCTGAGCTGGTCGTCTGTGCTGCAGTTGGTGCTTTGGGGAGGGCGGAGGCCTGAGACCTGGGGGACTGTGTGGCAGGCCTGTCCCCTCGACCCAGTGCCACCTCCTCACGTTGCGGCAGTCCAACCCTCTAGAAAACATCTTTGGCTGTTGGCTTGGACGATGACTAAGAGACACCTCAGCCGTGGCTTTCTGTCCATTGGGACCCTGTAGACCAGGAATGGGAAAGGGAGCAGCTGGCCGGGCCCTGGGCTTGGAGGGGGCCTGCTGCCTACTCCAGTCGCCCTCACCACAGAGCCGGCGTGATGTTATCTGACGGCAGTGAGCCCGTGGTGCTTCTCGAGCCTGGGTCCCAGACGTGGGGCTTCACAGCACTTCCAGATGCTTCAGTCCTTTGGAGCTTGTTCTGTGTCTGTCACTGTGAGCTTCAGGAGGATGAAGGAACGTGGTCTCTTCATCGTTAGTGACATAATGGCGGACATTTACTGAGCACTTACCTGTGCCTGGTACCATTTTGCAGCGGCTGACAGGGATTAGGCCAGTCGATCCTTACCACAACCTGATGAGGAAATTCAGTTATTATCCTGGGTTATATGCAGTGAGACCGAAGCACAGGAAAGCTGGTCACACCGGCATGGCTTCATAGGTAGGAAGCAGGATAGCCCAGGTTGACTCCAGATTGGCTGCCAGCTCCATGCCAGGGGGCCTTGCACTTATGGAGAGGAGCCTTGCAGAGCAGAGGTGTCTGTCCACTAGACATTTGCTGGTGAACAAGGGTAAGGAGACTCAGAGAAGGAATGAGGAGCGCATTCTGGGCTGAGTTCACCCATTTTTGGATGGTGAAGGACAGCATTTGCCACCTAATCTTGAGGGAGCCATAGACACACCTCATAAGGGTTGGCAGCATCGATTGCACTCATCATCTTCCCAAGCCTTGAGGTAGGAACTAATGCCAGCCCCATTTTACAGATAAAAATACAGAGGCCTCCAGGCATTAAATGTAAACTAAGGAAATGGAGAAAAGGGGCAGTGGTAGATGTTGGGGACCTTGCCAAGCCAAATCCTGTAATGTTTGTCCCCTTGGTCTCCCTGGACTCACAAGCCCCATGGAGGGCGGAGGGCCCAGCTGCAGAGTAGAAGGTCCCACCAGATGGTGGGCCTTGCAGCCACCTCAGGAGAGGCCTGGGCAGGAAGGAGAGTTCAGACCTGACAGCTGCTCTGGGAGGGGCACTGCCCAGTTGGAACAGGCACCAGAGCTGCCTCCTGGAGGCACCCTGCTGGGTGACAGAAAGGAGGGGACCTGGCTGGCAGGCGGTTTGGGGGCAAGGGGGCCCTCTGGGCAGCCGCTACTTACATACCAGCGTGGAAATGGTTCAGCATTTCTGTGACTACCAGACGGCTCGCCCAAGAATCAGCCCTGGCCTTGATGTCTTCCCTGCTAGTTTCTTTCTTCCGCTCCTGAGTCAGGGCTTTGATTCCCATTCTAAAGCCGAGTCTCTTGACAGCCTGCTCCTATAGCTGCTGCTGGTCAGAGTTCAGATAAATGGGGATCTGAGAGTCTGTGTGTATGGAGAGAAGGAGGCCTGTGGAATCTGCAGGTGATGTGCACTGAGCACCCACCGTGTGCTGGGCTCTGGTGGATGTGGTATATAATAACGAGCACACTGGAGTCCGGAAAAGGGCCTGGACAAAAAATAAATAGAGGGAGGACAAAGGTGTCAGAAGCCTCCGGGGGCAGCTTCCCCCACTGAGCAGTTCTGCCTCCTGTGTGACCCAGAAGCTCCTGAGGAAGCAGGCCTGACCTGTGACATGGGTCCTCTGTGCTAGGACAAGTGTCTGTCCTGCCTAGTTTCCCAGCAGGCATTTCTGCTGTTGCTCCTGACTCCCAACCCCATGGGCGGCTCCTTGGGCACCCCAGCCCAGGGCAGGGGGGTTGAGGCTTCCTGGAGCAGGGTGTGGAGCCAGGAGTGGAACAGAGGAGCCATTGAGCTGCCCACAAAGCTGCCACCTGGGCGCCCACAGGCACCAAGCGCTGGCGCTAGGGAGGCCCACGCCGGCCTGGGAGGGGTCGTGGCTCTAGGCACCGGCCCAGGACTCCAATGGGAAGGGTGCTGAGTGCAGCTGTGGCCAAGCTTGGTGAGGGAAGGGCTTGGGGGGGGAGGGGGGTTTCTGTGGAGTTGGGGGTCACCGGTGCATGGTTCTGGGTACTTCTCCTCAGCAGCTTCCAGGGTCTCAACCCCCCTACCTGATCCTCCACCCCACCCAGATTCACGCCTCCTCCCTCTTCTGAATGAACAAGGAAATGCACTTCCTTTGTTCATTCTTCCTGTTTTATGTGAACTGATTTAACAAAGATTTACTGATCGCTTTTAGGTACTTGGGAATTTAGCAAGTAAACATGGTTCTTGCCCTCAGGAAGCTCACTGTCTGCAGGAAGACAGATAACAAAACAAGTATTCACTGCACAGCCTGGCTCAGAGGCACCTGACCTAACTGGGGGGAGAATGGAAAGGCTTTCTGAAAGAAGAAAAGAATTTGATTCAGGCTTAGGGAAAGCTTTTGAGGCGGGGAAAAAGAGCATTGAGCTTTCAGGTAACAATGTGATCTGAGATGGGTAAAGAGAAACCAAAGAGGCAAGTGGAATCTTTAAATCTCTTTAACTGTGGACTTTTTTATTGCGGTCACTAGAGAACCATTGCAAGGTTTAAGGATAGCGTGTCCGTTGATTCATTACTGTTGAGTTGCTACCATGAGTAAGTTGTGAGGCTGAGTGCTAACTGGGCTGGGCTGAGTGCTAACTAGCTCGCTTCAGATCCCCCTTGGTCAAGTGGGTAGTGCCACGTGGGGGTGCGCCAGCTGGCCTGGGAGGAAGCAGTTTGGGTTAGGAGGGGGTGAGTGGATTTATTTTCTTCTCAGAGGAAGGGGGATGAGGTGGGCTCTGAGGGAGGTAGGAGCTGATCTAGTAGAAACAATTTGCTAATAGAAACATTACTCTGTGCCTCCTGTGAGCTGGGTACTTACTGGAGCCGGAGAGACAAAAATGACAAAGGGCTCTAGGCTAGCGGCTGATCTGGTGGTGGGTTGGGAAGACCTGAGATGGTAGTGTTCTCGGAAGCAGGCAGAGATCTGAGGGCGGAAAGGGGCTGGGCGGCTTGACGGGGACAAAATGGAGTAAGGTGGGAGCTGAAGAGCTGAGGGTGAGATGGTAGGAGCCTTTGGGACATGCTTTGGAGACCCTTGGAGGGGTTTGCAGCAGACACAGGAACATGAAGAAGGGGTCTCTGAGGTGGGGATCTTCCTTTTTCCATCTCTGCCTTACTAAGGGACCCAGATCCACTAGCCCAGGGCAGGGAGGTCACCCTTACAGCTTCCCTGCTCACCTGGCTCCCACAGTCCTGATCTGTGGATCTTGGCCCAGGACCAAAGCCTAGACCAAGAATGGGGGAGAGGCAGGTCGGGCCCTCCCCATGTGCCCCGGCCCCAGGGCCATGCCTTATTAAGGCAGTGCTCCCCTGAGGGGCTGGTGGGCTGGGCTCTGTCTCTGCCTCAGCCAGTCCTCCTCTCCCTGCCCCCCAGGAGCCTGTGGCCTGCTTGGAGAAAGGCTCTATTGTCTTCAGTTGTGCCTCGCCCTGAGCACCTTGAACTCCTCTGTGGGGTGTGCAGCTTGTGGTTCCCTCTGCCTTGACTGGGAGCAGGGACAGAGCGGTCGCCATGAGCCGTTTGTGTGGGAGAATGCGTGGGATGTGGAGCGCCAAAGCCAAGCCTTTCCTGTCCCTGTTCTCCAGGAGCCAGGGGGTTTCAGCAGAGCCCAAATCCTGCCTTTCCTATGGCTGTCCTAAGGCCGTCTACCTCCTGGGACAGCCACGGTGCCCACTGGTGGCAGGTTGGCAGCATGATGCAGGTTCCAATCCTGGTTCCTCCACTTACTGGGAATGGTCTGGGGCATGTTGTCCCTTACCTGTTTTGAACCTCCTTTTCCTTAAAACGGGGATAATAACACCCACGTGATGATTATGAGAGTGTCCTGCAGCTAAATCAGCAGAACCGTGGCATAAAGTGAGTACTCAGTCTTTCTGTTCCTGATGGTCAAACAATATTTGTTCAGCATCTGGTAACACACTGGTAGGCATGGGCCAAGCTCATCTCCAAGTTGCCCCTTGTGCCTGTCCGCTCTTTGAACTCCGTTGTAAGCAGTTCTCTGAATTGATCCCCTCTGTGGAACCACCTGGTGGAAGCTCTTGGGCTGCCTGGACCTTGACTGAGGCAGGCTTTAAGGCCCAGAGTCTCATCCTGGCTATTCAGCCCAGGGGGTGGCCCAGAGGCACAACGTTAACAGAAAAGAAAGTACCATTTTGGGGGCAGCCTAGTGGGAGACCCTGCAAAGGCAGAGCCAGGGCCTGTCCCCGTCTAAGTTCAGAGCCTGCCTGTAGGCACCTGGGGCTCCGGGTCTAAGGCAGCCTGTCCAGGACTCTTGCTCCTGTAGCTGGAGCATCTGGGGAGAAGAGCTGTCTCTCGGATGCCTGAAGCCCTCTCTCTCCCCACAGCTGGCAATCCTAGAAGACTATGCAGACCCGTTTGATGTCCAGGAGACAGGTGACAGCCTCGCAGGAGCTTCTGGAGCCCCAGAGAAGGTCCCGGAAAACGATGGCTACATGGAGCCCTATGAGGCCCAAAAGATGATGGCCGGTGAGTGATAGAGTAAGGGAGAGTGCTGGGGAAGTTGTTCCCTGAGGCTTGGGCATCTGCAAAACAAGCTTTGGGACCCACATGTCTTAAGAACTGATTCCTTGGTCTCTAGAAAGTACGGAGAATGCCTTTGCTGGGTCCTCGGGGAAGGTGCCACTACTTTCAAGATAGTCACTTTGGAGAAGGAGCTGTGATTTGTGGTACCTGAGACCTGAGGTGGTAGAGAAGGCCACACAACCAAAGGTCAGTCAGGTGGAAGCATTTGGGAGAGTCAGGAAGAGCAAGATAGTGGTGTGGGCTGGGGGTCATTGGTCCCGAAAAGAGAATCACTAGCTTTAGAAAAGGTGGTAAGTTTGAAATGATGTGATGTCAAAGGATGTTATGACAATTGGAAATGCGTGACTATAAATGCAGATGCAATGCCCCGGATGCTGGGCAAGTAGTTCAGGGAGTGAGGGCAGGAGGAAATGGATAAGGCCTGGCTCTGGGGAGCAGGGACCAAGAAAGGGCCCAGGGAAAGACCAAATGGGGCAAGGAGGACGGGGTGAGTCAGTCTAAGCCAAGCTCCCAAGGCAGGATGAAAGGAAGACATGTTCACAGGAGAGGCAAGAGAAGAGAGGCCAAGAGGGACGTTGAAAGGCCATAAAGGCTGGAATGAGGCGTTTGGACTTGCTCCAGAAGGGGAAGGGGAACCATTATGGATTCTTGAGCAAGAAAACAACAGGACAAATAAGGCATTTTAAGGGGATTACAAAGGCTTTGGTGTGCAGAACAGACTAGAAGAGCTGGGCATCAGTCAGAAAGATGAGTTAGCGGCCTATTGTGGAAATTACTGAGGCTTTACAGAACCAATAATTAACATCCCTCTCTTCCCCTCTGGAGCTCAGAAATAATTGAGAAAAAAGATCAAGGAAACAAAATGGAGATAACAATGTCAGTTTTATCACTGATAAAGGTGATTGGAGAACATTACTTAGCTGTGTCACTACAATGGGCTTCTCAGTACTTCCCCAGGAATTAAACTTGCCCACTCAGGCTTGGGTAACGTAGCATGACTGTAGGCCCCTGCACAGGGGCAGGAGGAGAAAGAACCAGAATGTTCTCTGTGTAAGAAAGCAGATCAGATAAGCTGCTCTCCCTCCTTGGGAGAGACGGGAGAGGGGCAGAGAGCACTCAGGAGTGTTATTCCATGGAGCCAATGGAACAAGGTCTGAAGAATGGAGCTTCGCCCTAGTGGTAATGTAGCTGCGGAGAGATGAGGGTGAGACTCACCAGGCACTGACAATGGCAGATGGGACTCAGACAGTGAAGGAGGGCCAGGACCAAGGCGAGCAGTATTGGGGACAATGGAAGAGTGGCTGCCATAGTTAGGTCAGAGGGTTGCGGCTCCCTAGGACAGCGGTCGCCAACCTTTTGGACCTCACGGACCACCAGTGGTCCACGGACCTCCGGTTGGCGACCACTGCCCTGGGAGGTCCATGCCCTGGAGTTGATGAGAAAATTTGCATGTATGGGGAGCTCCATAGCTTTTATACCAGTTTCACTGGGTTCAGAGATCTCAAAAAAGAAAATCACAGAACAGACTAGAAGAACGTTTGGGGAGAGTGGTGAGTTGGAAACATCAAACTGAAACATCTCTATGGCAACTAGAAACATAGATGCAAAGGGTTCCATGAGACTGGGCAAGTCTGCAAGGATGAGGCCTGGGAATAAGAATAAGAGTTGGCCTTGGGAAACCGAGAGGACCCAGTAAAAGAGACCAAATGGGAGGACAGTCCATGAAGGGGACAGTTTCAAGGATGGGGTGGTCAGCAGTGTCTGAGCAACAGAGAAGGATTTTGTCATATTGTGAAATGGTATCACTTGGGACACAAGGAAATAAGTGGAGTTGGGCAGCAAGAAGATGGACCGGGAGAAGACCCTGACTTGGTTTCCTAAATGTGTTAGCCTCAGCTCCCCAGCCCTTGCTGGTCGCCCCAGGATCCTTTTCCTGTCTTTCATTCTGGTGCCTCTGCCCCCACAGCTGTTGGGTCCCCTGCTTTTGGAACCCCAGACATGTTTTGAGGGAGAGGGACCCTGTATGTGTGCCCCAGAGCCCCCGGCGTCTGTGAAGGAAGGCTGGCTGGTCGCTGGGAGCCCTGCTGGGGGCCTGAGCCAGGGCAGCCCGCCTCTCACCTCCCTCCTGCTCGCCCCGATAGAGATCCGGGGCTCCAAGGAGACGGCCAGTCAGCCCCTGCCGCTGTATGACACACCCTACGAGCCCGAAGAGGAGGGGGCCACCCCCGAGGGCGAGGGGGCCCCTTGGCCCCGGGAATCCCGCCTGCCTGAGGACGACGAGAGGCCGCCCGAGGAGTATGACCAGCCCTGGGAGTGGAAGAAGGAGCGGATCTCTAAAGCCTTTGCTGGTGAGTCCTGGACGGAGGGGGCAGGTCCGCTGGGGCGCTTCTCGGGCTCGGGGAGGGAAGGAGTGGCACCCTGGGAGAAGTGTAGTTGAGTCTTACCGTGGAGCTGTGCGTTGGCTGGTGGACAAAGGGCTGTGTGCGGTCAGGCTGTGGGCACAAGAGGAGGAGGAAGGTGTCTCCCGGCATCACCGCCTCTCCGACGCCAGGAGGCGTGGGCCACTTCCATCTCTTGGGGGACTGGGTATGTTTGAAAATAAAGACGTTCCAAACAAAATGATAAAACTTGTGGCATATGTTAAATACTTAACAAAAGAAGGCATTAACCCTCCAAACAGTGAAAACAGCTGCCTCTGTAGCCGTTAGAGATCCCACATCTGAGTGAGCAGGCTGTGTCTCCTGGGGTAGGCCAGGCAGACCAGGGGCGTCGGCTCCCAGAGGGTTTCTGAGGAACCCCCTTTACTGAGTGAGGGTAGATTTCTTCTGTACCGGGCACCCCGGTGGCCGCCCCAGGCCTGGCGTCCGACGTGGAGAGGTATGTGTGGTGGTTTGAGTTGGGGGCACAAGAGCTTTAACTCCTGGATCCTTGATTCAGTGAGGACAGAGAGGACGTAAGAGCCATTGGACTCCATTTCCCTGCCATGTCCCTCTCCTCCTTGGGCAAGAGGCTCCTCCTGGAGCTGGACCCAGCCCTGTGCTTGGGGGGAGGCCCCCCGGGCAGCCAGACTGAGAAACCACGAGGTTTCTGATTTGTTTCCTGTAAGGCGCGCACCGCTGAGGATGGGCCGCTTATCTCCAGAAGTCTCCTTGGAGAATCAATACTGTTTGGCTTGCTTAATGGGAAAATCTATGCTCCTCATTAGGAAACCTTGTTAGCAGTCCTGGCGCCGCCCATGGCATCACTCTTCTCGTTGTCAGGGCTTGGGATTGAGGGTGTGGGGGGCAAATTTCACTGAAACAGCTGCCCCCACATCTGAGTATCCCTGACAACCTGTCTCAGCTAGGCGGTGGGGAAAGGAGGGATGGAGGCAAAGGGGGGTGCCAGGAGACGGGGGGAACACAGAGGTGATGCTGGGAGACATGGGCAGCTCCTTATCCCTCTTTCCCTCCTTTCCTGGCCCCTCTGGTCCCTGGAAGCTTGTGGGAGGTCAAATGAAGGGCTGACAGCAAGACCCTGCTTTTGCCCCCTGAGCCTCCCACTTTGACCATGCCAGCCCAGCGTGGTCAGCATAGCCCCGCCTGGCCCTCTGAGAGGCCTGCTCCCCTTTCAGAAGCCGCCCCTGCCTCCACTCTGACCCTCCTCCTTTCTAGGCTGTCCTGTGTCCTGGCTCTGGGTTTTGGTGTCTCAACCTCTGCCTCTCTCTGTCTCTGTCTCTCTCCCTGTCCTTGCCTGTCTCTCCTCCCTGCTGTGCTACTGGTTCCAGTTGACCTTAAGGTCATCAAAGACCTACCTTGGCCTCCACCGGTGGGACAGCTGGACAGCAGCCCCCCCCTGCCCGACGGGGACAGGGACGTCTCCGGTCCAGCCTCACCCCTCCCCGAGCCCAGCCTGGAGGATGGCAGCGGTGGGTCCTGTCGGGGCTTCTGGCCAGGGTGACGTGTCCTCTCATCCCTCGGGCCCTGCGGGCTTGGGTTGGAGGAGCTAAGAGGTGGGGCGTGGTTTGAAGGACCGGGGAACAACCCCTCTCTTCCGGGGGAAGAAGGAAGGGAGGAAGTACACCTCTCCCCTCCCGCCCCAAACGTATGGGGAAGGTGTCTCCTAAGGCAGTGGCCGGCAAACTCAACAGTCAGCAGAGCCAAATATCCACCGCACAACGATTGAAATTTCTTCTGAGAGCCAAATTTTTTAAACTTGAACTTCTTCTAACGCCACTTCTTCAAAATAGACTCGCCCAGGCCGTGGGGTATTTTGTGGAAGAGCCACACTCAAGGGGCCAAAGCGCCGCATGTGGCTCGTGAGCCGCAGTTTGCCCACCACGTTCCTAAGGGAAACCCACTATTCTAAATTCACTTCTTTGGGTAGTGCTTTGCCTGACCAGAACTTGAGCAATGCAGGTAACTCCTGAGATGGGGGACACTAGCCAGCAGAGTAAGTGTCTAGGAAAGGATCTGCTCCTTGCATTTGGTGTCTGAAAGATAATAACGGCTTGAAAGTGCTGCAGGGAGAGAAGAATAGTCCAAATGAGGAGAAAGAACACCTCACCTACGTTCAGTTTTACCAAGAGTGGGCAGTTGGGGGGAACGGGGTGGGGTGAGGATGGGGGGGAATGGAGAGGGAGAGTGCATCTCTGCGCATGCACAGAGGCCTGAACACCTGTTTGTACATGTGTGGCCGGGTGTGAGTGGGTATTTTGTAAATACAGGATGTCACCTGTGTATGTGTGCCCATGCCCATGTGGTCTGCTGGCTTCAGCTGTCCCTATGCAGGCTCAGCAGTCAGGTCTGCCCTTGGTCCGAGAGCACAGAGCCCTCTCTACTGGGTTTCTGTGGGGGTGGGGAGGGGAGTCTGTGGGCAGCGACCTTGGGAGCGGGGGAGGGGCGGACGGGCTGGCGGCTCTGGGCAGGATTAGCCTGTCAGGATGGCACCAAGGGGAATCAGATAATTGTTCTCGGATCGATAAGTCATTTCTACAGAATGGTTTGGCAAGGGTGATTTGGAGAACGGTAATGAACTCTGAGCAGGAGAAAGAAACAATATTATCAGCACTGAAGCCACCCTGAGGAGGATGGAATAGGGGAAGGCAGTCAGCTGCTCCTCGGGGAGAAGCTTAGGTGGTTTCTCTTGTGGCTCCTCTCCCCTCTTCTTCCACAGTGTAGGGCCTGGGAGGCCCTGTGTGGCACCCAGGGCTGAGCCCCACCTTCACCTCCACCCCTGGGGGATGGACCCAGAATTCCATCCCTAGAGCCAGTCGGGCCCATGAGCGTGTCCAGGGAATGGGGGTGGGGTGCTGGCTATTCTATGGGGCTCCGCTCCAAGGGGCCTCAGTGGCTGTCACTGGTGTGTTCCCCACAGCCCAGTTTGAAGGATCTGAGAAGAGCTGCCTGTCACCCAGCCTGGAGGAGAAGGGGCGCCTACCTCCCCGACTCTCTGCAGGGACCCCCAAGTCAGCCAAGCCCCTGAGCATGGAGCCCAGCAGCCCCCTGGGAGAGTGGACAGACCCAGCCCTGCCTCTGGAAAACCAGGTGTGAGTGTCTGTGTCCAGCTGGGGACTGTCCCCGCTCCCTTCCCTTCCTAGCACTTGCCTGAGGGGACACCCCGAATGCGTGGGCCTGGTCAGCGAGGGAGGGATCCGGCAGAGATGCTCCCCTTCCCCTCTCTCATCCTCAGCTGGTACCATGGGGCCATCAGCCGGACGGATGCCGAGAACCTGCTCCGGCTGTGCAAGGAGGCCAGCTACCTGGTGCGCAACAGCGAGACCAGCAAGAATGACTTCTCCCTGTCCCTCAAGTGAGTGGGGCTGGCTGGCAGCTTTAGACAGGATCGGCCTGTGAGGGTGGCACCAAGGATAACCAATGGGAGGACAGCCACCAGAACAGGAGGAGGCCCTAATATTCCCAGGCTCGGCCAAGCTGGGGAGAACCCATCCCCCATGAACCTTTGCCAACTCTGAGCTCAGCCCCTGCTCTCAAGGAGCTCCTAGTTTCTTGGGGGAAATAGTTAAGCTGGTGTCTAGTTCAGAAGGGTCCTGTCACTTACTAGCTGTGTGGCCTTGGGTCCCCTTAATCTCTCTGGGCCTCAGAGTGATTAACTTACAAAGTCAGGGAATAACAATATCTACTTTATAGAAAATGGTTAAATGAAGTAATGTATGGGGAGCACTTGCCATGGTGCTAGTGCCCAATAAACGATCACCATCATCATCATTAATGGAAGTCTAAAATGTTCTAAAAGCACAGGCAAGGAGACAGGAACTTTGCCTGAAAGGATCTACAGGGTAAGATGGGGGCTGGGTCCTGAGAGGAGGACAGGGCTGTGGACACAAAGCTGTTCTTATTTGGGGAGGGGGTGGGGGGTGTTGGTCCCGCCAGTTTCCACCTGTACACACTCCGAGGAAGCGGGCAGGAGGTCTGGTTGCTAGTGGCTGACAACTGAGCTCTAAGGATCCTGGAAGGGGTCCCATCAGCCCTCCTCCCTGGGAGCAGACACAGAGGCCAGGACTGGCTTCCCAGGCTCTCCTGATGGGATGGCAGGTCCTCTCCTTGGCACCGGAGAGTTCCCCCTGGTGCAGCCTGTACTCCAAGGACCGCCTGTCAGGGTGACTGTCCATTCACAGTCCCCTGCCATTACCGGAGCCTCTATATCACCTCCTACCACATTTTCTGGGTGCAATGGAATAGATATATACCCGCACGTCAAACAAGTCCGATATATGGAAATTGGGGACTACTAAACAGATACATTTGAATATACTTATTCAGCTTCACTAAAAGGTGATGAAGAAAAGGCCAGACTATAATCATAGCCTGAGTTTTATTCGTGGGTTTAATAAAATTAGCTATGTGACCCAAGGCAACCTTAATCCCTCTGGGCCTTGGTTTCTCCATTTGCAAAATATGTTGATGGTTACTTCTTAGGTTTTTTCCAGCTCTCATGCTCTGGTAGTCTGCAAATTACCATAAAATCAAAGGAGCATTTGGAAAAAAATTGTCAAAAATGTGATTTACATAACTTCCGGAATGTGTGTTGCTTTAAAAATTATAGTAAGATTTATAGAGCATATACTATGTGCCAAATAGCAGCATATATACCATCTCTTAAACCAACTAGCATCCTGCAAAATCAATCTCTTTTTATAAATAAAAATAGACTCGAAGAGGTATGACTGGCTCAAGGCCACCAGCTAATAAAGTTCCAGTAGCAGAATTTTTTAAAACTATATTTTTATTGATCTCAGAGAGTGAGGGAGAGGGAGACCAAGATAGAAACATCAGCCGAAACCGGTTTGGCTCAGTGGTAGAGCGTCGGTCTGCGGACTGAAAGGTCCCAGGTTCAATTCCGATGTGTACGTTGGTTGCGATGTGTACGTTGGTTGCGGGCACATCCCCGGTAGGGGGTGTGCAAGAGGCAGCTGGTCGGTGTTTCTCTCTCATCGACGTTTCTGGCTCTCTATCTCTCTCTCTTCCTCTCTGTAAAAAATCAATAAAAATATATTAAAAAAAAAAAAGATAGAAACATCAATTATGAGAGAGATTCATTGATTTGCTGCCTCCTACACGCCCCACACTGGGGATCGAGCCGGCAACCCAGGAATCAAACCCGGGATCATTCAGTTCCACAGGCAACGCTCTGTCCACTGAGCCAGAATGGCTAGGACTCAGAGCAGGATTTGAAGCCAGCTCAGTCTGACTCTTAATAACCACACTGTTCCTCCATTGCACAGCTCCACCCCTCAAGTCTGGAACAGTCTAAGGCAAGGGAGCCTGCAGGGGTCTGGCTCCCTAGCAGAGCACTGCGGACACAGCCCTGCCTTAGCCTGGGGTGTAGAGGGGAGACTCTTCTGGACGCCTGGCTCCAGCCCTGGCTGGTCTGGCCCCGCCAGCAACTGTCTGCCAGAGCTTCATTCACATATAAATGGCTTTTCTGAAATACAATTATGGTTTCTCCTCTCTCTGTAATGGAAGGGCTTTCATTGGTAATTAAACAGCTTCCTCCACCGGCCAAGCCAGCCCTGGCTCTGCTTCCCAGCCAGTCCCTCCCCGGCCCCTGAGGGTCTGGCAAGGGTTCCGCTGTGTCCTAATGGACTCTTGGGACTTTGTCCCGGGAGCTCAGTTATTCAGATGGAGGCTGAGCTCTCAGCTTCTAACTCTGGTCTCTGGCTACTTGCTGCCCCTTTTGCCCAGACCTGTCCCTCAGAGAAGATAGAATGTACAGTTGTCAGGAGAGGTGATTTCCCCAAGTGGACTGTGGGAAGGGAGCCATCCCCAAACTGTGAGAAGGTGAGGAGAGGCAGGGTCCACGCTGCTGCCCACAGCCTTGGGCCCCAGCCTAGGCATGGGGCAGACAAGGGAGGGATCGCTTACCGCCTCCCTTTCTACAGGCCCCAGGGGCTGCGCATTTCCCTGAGGCCTCGGCTCCTTTCCAGGGCCTGTGTGGTCACAGCCTCAGCAGTTATCTCAGACCAGCAGAGGAAGGCTGGCCCCACCCCCTGACTGACACCGCCCACCCCCCCACCCCCACCCCCGAACTGGGGCTTCCAGCAGGCTTTGGGGCCCTGTACCCGGGGGCGGGAAGGATGGAGTTAAGGACCTGTTTTCCTCCCATCCCTTTCCTCTCCTCAGTCACCCCACTCCCCCCACTTTCTGACTGGTGGGCCTAGTGCTGTGGTCGCCAAACAGCGGCTCTCGAGCCACATGCGGCTCTTTGGCCCCTTGAGTGTGGCTCTTCCACAAAATACCACGGCCTGGGCGAGTCTATTTTGAAGAAGTGGCGTTAGAAGAAGTTTAAGTTTAAAAAATTTGGCTCTCAAAAGAAATTTCAATTGTACTGTTGATATTTGGCTCTGTTGACTAATGAGTTTGCCAGCCACGGGCCTAGTGAAATGGGTCCAGAGGCCTCTTTTAACCTAGGCAGGGAGGCAAACGAGGAGGTGTTCCAGCCTCACCTCTCACGAGCAAGGGCCTCACCATGAGTCCTACCTCCCACACCTGCTCCCGAGCCCTGTCCTCTCCCCAGGCAGGCTCTGGCCAGCGGGGTCCCCTAAGCAGTGTGACCACTCGTTGGTGAGTGAGTTTCAGACCTGGGGCCTGGGCTGTAGTAGTTTGGACAAATGTTGTTCTTGCTGGGGCCCCCACTCCCGCTCTAAGGTTGAGGGTACCCAGACATCTGGGAGCTTGCCAGAGCTGGGGGGAGGAGGAGGACGGGGGGGACGGGGTCCTTGTCTTGTGGTCAGGGCCAGGCAGTAGACTGTGTTGAAAGATGGAGCATGTCCTCTCTGAGGGAGGCATGGAGCTGCAGCCTCGCCCATGCCGTCAGCCCAGGCTGAAGGGCTGGCTGGCTGGGCCGGGGGCTTGGCTCAAGGCCCAGTTAGCAGGAGGGTGAAGGGATGTCCCTAGGACAGGGTGGCTGGCTCTCCCCAGATGTGGGGAGCCGCTCACCTCCTCCCCTAGTATCTGCAAGGGAGAGCCCGAACCAAGATTCTCTTGGTTGTCACATCCATCCATCCACCACTCTCCTGCTTCCACAGGAGTGACCCAGAGCCTCACCCGTGTCCTCCCCCACAGCTCAGAAAGGGGGATGGGTAAACTGGTCCCGGCCACACAGGCTGGAAGGCAGGAGTGCCCGGATACCAGGGTTTGAGGTGGGGGTGAGGGGTGCTAGTCCCTCCAGCACACACACACCCTGTACACTCACTTACAAGCACATTCTTGGCACACCCTGTGCCCTCACCACAAAACCAATACCTATTGCTACCTACTTACAAAATCCCCTCCGCCCCCTCCCTGCCTTCCGGACTGACCTCCACCTTCCATAGCCACCTCCACTCTGCTGGTTTGGAACATTAACCGCAGGGCTGGGGGAGGGAGGGGCCTGGGAAGGGCCTCCACTCACCAGGCTCTCCTCTCTCCCCAGGAGCAGCCAGGGCTTCATGCATATGAAGCTGTCTCGGACCAAGGAACACAAGTATGTGCTGGGCCAGAACAGCCCGCCCTTCAGCAGCGTCCCGGAGATCGTGCACCACTACGCCAGCCGCAAGCTGCCCATCAAGGGCGCCGAGCACATGTCCCTGCTCTACCCCGTGGCCATCCGGACTCTGTAGGCGCGAGGCTTGGGCACTGCGTTCGGCCTGCACCCAGTCCTGTGCCTGCGCCCGGGCTGAGGGCTGTGGTCCGTCCCAGGCCTTTCTTCCCCTCTCCCCGGGGTGGAGATTCCTTAATTTATTCTAAAGAGTAAGGGCTATGGGGCCTTGGAGTAAGAGGAGGTCTGGAGCCGAGGAGAGGATTAGCCCTGGGCAGCCCCTGGAGGAAGGGGGCTTCCAAAACGGCGAGTCTCCCGGAAGAGTTTCAGATCTGCAGCCCCAGGCCCTTTCCGCCTGTGGGGCCGAGGGGGCAGCCTCCTTCCCCTCCACCCTCTCCCCCAGGCCAGTGCAAGGCAGAGCAGGACGCAGGCCCGTGGGGCACCCTGACCTCTTCCCCTCCACACACACACACACACACACACCTTCCCCTCCACACACACACCACACACACACACACCACACACACACCTTCCCCACCACACACACACACACACACACACACACACACACGCCCCGCAGCCCCCTGGGATGGAGACTGCATGGGGCGGGAGAGGGAGAGAGGATGGGGCGGAGGGAATCGGTGTGGTCCCCGTCGTTCGGACTCCCGGCGCCCGGCCAGAGGCAATAAATAACCCGGTGCCGCCTGCACAGCGTCTGCGCCTTCAGCGCCGCAGCCCGGGCTGCCGGGTGGGGAGCGGCGGAGCGAGCACCGATCTGTTTATACATCAGCTCCGAGCAGACACAGGCCGGCTGCGAAAAGCGCCTTCCAAGCATCGAGTTCCTTCCTTTGACGAGCGATCAAAACACCCCGCGTGGCCCCCGCCCCGGAGCCGCCGGCCTCGTGGCGCCCCCACCCCGCCGCCGCGCCGGCTCCGGCTCCGGGGAGCGCGTCCCATTCCCTGCCTCCGGCCCGTGTCTGGGCGGAGGGAGCCGGAGACAAAGAGGCAGCGCGCCAGCGGGAGGAGCGGGGGCCCTGCCACGCGGAAGCCGCGCGCCCGCGAGCTGGGAAAGCTGGCACAGCCACTGCGTTTCCTCTCCAGAGGAAGCGGGCCTGCCGCCGCCGCCTCCGCTCACTGAGGATGGGTCCGCCCGGACCTGCAGCCGGCGGGCCTCGACCCGATCTCCCTCCCCGCCGCGGCTCCGGGCCCAGGCTGGCGGGGTGGGGGGAGGCGTCCGCGCGCGCCCTCTGCTGGCCGTGCCCTTAACTGCGGGACCCGGGCGCGGGATCACACCGGCCCGGCCGATGGCCCCCAGTGCGCCCCTGCTGCAAACTGCCGGGGCTTGTGGGCCCAGCTCCTGCGAATACCCTTGGGCCGCCAGGCAGAGCTGCTGTCGAGCCACTCCAGGCCTGCCCTCCCGCTTTCCTGGGCAAGCTGAACAAAGACTCCACGAGGGGCTGAACACACCCCGGGGATGGCCGCCTTGGGAGAACAGTCTAATGAACCTACATCTGCACTTCCGAAGTGTGATGCGAAGCATGGGATTTTGGATTTTCGAATTCAGTGGTTAGTTTATTAGGGATCAGGATGGAGGATATGTGATCCAACAAATGGACTAGGTAAGAATCCTGTGGAGACAATAGAATCACTTGAAATTGGGCACTGCTTTAGAAATTCCCTCAGAAAGGGTTGCCCTATCTTTAAGTAGATGCAGAAACAGTTCCAAAAAGGTTAGGTGGTGTGCTCATCTGTCTCCTTGCTGTCATCTCACTACCTGGTGCTCAGAGAAGGACCGGGAGTAACAGGTCCCGGAGCAGGCCAGGCCAACCCTGCCTCCTTGTTGGCTCCTGGGTGTCTCGGCCCCCATCCCCCACCCCTTGTACCCAGTCCACCTTCTCCAACACCCCTCACACTTGTCCCCCTCCTGACCAGGAAGCCTCACACTTGCACTCAGAGAGGCCCTCTGTCCGGAAGGATGCCCTTGAGCAGGGAAAGGGGTGGCTAGCCGGGTGGCCTGAGTGGGTTCCTTTATTCAGAGGATCCCACCAAGCTCAGAATGTCTGCACTGGCCTGTTAGTCGGCCATTTGAGTGGCTTCTTCCAGTGCCTACCCCATCCTGGGGCAGAATAAAGCAACCCAGAGGGAAGAAAAGTGGTTTATTTGTAAAGGAGACTATGGGACAAGAAGAGAAGGTCTGAAGAACACTACATAGAGATTGGGCCAGGTTCTGATTACAGTACCTGTTTAAGAACTTGGGAGAGAAGATCAATTGTGCTGTTAAACTGGGGCGCTGAGAGATTCCCTATAAATTTCTCTCTGGGTCCAGCCTCTATCCCTTTGAAGGCATTTGCCAGCCCTTGTGACAGTGGATAGCCCAGAAGAGGGAGAGGACTGAGGGGAGGATTTCTAAGATGCCAGCATCTGTGCTCCCACTTCACCTTTAGGTTCACAGCCCCCAACACACACACACACACACACACACACACACACAGACACACTACTTACTACTTGTCAGCCCCAGTCTTTTGAAATTTTTCTTAGTTTGGAACGAGAGGTGTTTCTTTGCCCCAAAACAATAATAGCTCCCAACTCGAGTCCCCAGACAGTGCCTTCCACTTCTCCAGGCCGAGACTATGAGTCTGGGGGGGTCCCTGAGCCCACATGGGGTGACTGACCATGGATCTAGGTTGGTAGGTGGGAGTGGGGAGAAGGTGAGGGAACCAGAAACAGGAAGTGCAGAGGTGAGGCGAGGTGTGACCCAAACCTCTGCTCAGCAAGCAGTGGGTGGAGCCCCTGGGCAGGAGGCCTAGAAGTTCTCGTAATGGTGGGAGAAATGAGTCCGGTCCTGCCTGTTGATGAGCTGACAGGCTTTTTCCACATTCTTGGTCATGCCAGGGGGGCCACAGCTAAACACCCCGATCTTCCGGACCTGTTGTTGAAGGAAGAAGTGAAGGCTAGCTCTGTTCTGAGGGAGGGCTAGCTCAGGCCCATGGTAAAGCCATGAAGAGTCCTTGATGAGGGCTCATTCCCCGTTCCCATGAAAGTTTGCATCTACCACGCCTGGTGAGGGCCAGGTTGATGTTTTCAAATCTAACTTGGTTTTAGTAGACCTCCTCTCTGTGGGTCCAGCCTCTACCCCTTCCAAAGCATTTGCTAGCTTCAAGTGCAAGCAAGAGCAGTTTCTGATACGGGGCTGGGTTAACCAATGTTTGAGTTGAGGGATAGCTTAGTGTCTCGTTAAGGGCTCACCCAGGGTTTATGAGAGCAGCGGCGTGCTCGGTGCTGACGGTGAAGATTAGCTCAGTGTCCAGGATGAGGCCCGGGTCAGCATTAGGGTTAAGGGTAGCTCTGTGTTTATGGTGAGGACTAGCTCAATCACTGAGCTCTTCCTTCCGAACAAGGCATCTTGGCTGCAGAAGCGGCTAGTCCCTGTCGCCAGCTCCCCACTTCCCCCTCAGGGTGGCCCCCTCTTCTCCTTTCCCATTTCATTACCCCACCAACTTCCCAGGGGGTGATGGGTTCTCATGGGCAGTCACTAGCTTCCCTGATGGAGCAGGTTTGGGAGCTTTGCTCAGCCCCCCAGAGGATACACTGAAGAGGCCCCGGATGGGGGGGGGGGGGGGTTGACTGACCTGTGGGTGAACCTCCTGCAGGGAGTTGAAGAAGGGCTCAAAGGGGGGGCGACCAAAGTGGGTGACGGAGCGCAGGCCCGTGAACAGACTCCGGTTCAGCACCTTCTGGAAGTGCCGCTCGCAGATGTACTGGCAGCAGAATGAATGGAGGAAGAAGGTCAGAGCCAGGCAGAGCCACGGCAGCTCCTAGCCCAGATGGTGACCCACCCACCCTGCCTGGCAGGCCCCGGCGCACCAGCATGGTGGTCCTGAGGTCGAACTTCTCCGCCAGCTGGGTGATGTAGATGTGCACGGACACCAGGTCCTGGTGGTCGTTCTCCTCCACCTCCCGGATGATGTCAGCCAGCCACTCGAACTGCCGCTGGGTCCGCGTCACCCAAATGAAGTAGATCTGGGGACAGGGCTGGAGCTGAGGGCCCAGCTCAGCTCAGGCTGCCTATGCCCCAGGGATTCACACACCAATAGAATTCTCTGGCCAGCTTGGGCCCCTCTCCAGATGTCCTGGGAAATGGAGTGTATGGGGCCACAAGGCCAGACGAGCAGGACATGGAGTTGCCCCAGGGCATGGAGAGGTGCAGGTAAGTGACAGCCTGGGGCACCTGCTGGTCTGAGCCTCTCCTGCCACTCTCTCCAACGTTTCCGCCTCAGGCTCCAACCAACCAAAGCCCAGACGGAGAGGGGCCACTAACGGGCTTGTCACAGAACATCTTCGGGGAAGACCAGCTGGCTGTCCGGAGGGATGGGAATGGACTCGGAGACCAGGGGGATGGAAACTTCCCTAGGGGAACCCACCTCCAGCTTCTGATAGGGGGAAGTGGGCGGTTTGGGTTAAGAAGCAGAGGCAGCCTGGCCAGTGTGGCTCAGTGGCTGAGCATATACTTATGAACCAGGAGGTGATGGTTCAATTCCCAGTCAGGGCACATGCCTGGGTTGCAGGCTCGATCCCCAGTGGAGGGTGTGCAGAAGCAGCCAATCATGATTCTCTCTTATCATTGATGTTTCTATCTCTCCCTCTCTGAACTCAATAATATATGTGTGTGTATATATATAATATATATATATTATATATATATAATACACACACACACACACACACACAATTAAAAAGGAAGCAGAGCCGAAACCGGTTTGGCTCAATGGATAGAGCATCAGCTTGGGGACTGAAGGGTCTCGGGTTCGATTCTGGTCAAGGGCATGTACCTTGGTTGCGGGCATATCCCCAGTACAGGGATGTGCAAGAGGCAGCTGATCGATGACTCTCTCTCATTGATGTTTCTAACTCTGTATCTCTCTCCCTTCCTCTCTGTACAAAATCAATAAAATATATATTTTTTTAAAAAGGAAGCAGAGGTAGAGCTGGCTTGGACAGAGGAGCAGAGAACTGTCTGTCAACTCTGAATGCTGACAGCATATGGGCTGGGCCTCTGCCTGCTGCATTCCTGCCCTCCTGACTCACCTGCCAGGCCTAGAGAGACAAGCAAGGGCCTGCCACAAGGTGCAGGCTGGGGTGAAGGGGCCTGGCGTGGAGGGGTCCTGAGGGCCTGGAGCCAGCCGTGCCCATCATCCCTGCCTACCCCCTCCTGTTCTCTTATTCTTGAGATCAAAGCCAGTTTCACCTGTGCCCCCCCTCCCCCCAAGCGTGCCCTTCCTTCTCCCAGCCCGACAATGCCTCCAGTGCCAGCTTCCTCCGAGGGAGGAGACGTTCTTCACCTTTCTCCAGCCTGCCCGGAGGGTTCCCAGAAGCAAACCCTAGGTGGGGTGCTTCCTAACGGAGGGAAGGATCGACAAACTAACTCTGTCCTTTAGGATCTGGGTGTATCCTGACCACCGCACCCCAACCCCAGCCAGGGCCAGGCCAGCTTGGCCTTGCCTAGACCACGGAGACCAAGAACAGAGGCAGGAGAGCCAGCACAGATGGACACAGTGACGGGGAGCAAGGGACATGGGCTGGGGCACTTACCTTCTTACAGAACACTTGGTAGCTGACTGATGACTTGAAGACCAGGTCTTTGAGGATGGAGGCAAAGGGGGTGACCCCGATGCCCCCTCCCACCAGCACTGACACCTCAAACTTATGCCACTCCTGGTGGCCCTCTCCAAATGGTCCATCGAGGTACAGCTGCAGGGAGCAGAGTGGGTGTGAGTTAAGCTCTCAGCTACCATCACAGTTCTGAAGTCAGAAGTGAGAGGCAAGAAAAAGCAGGTTTATGGAGTGAGGGGGAAGAGGGACTGTGGCTTTATCTGGGACAGCCAGTCTCTGGATGGGGAGGGAGGAGCACAACGGGCGCCTGGTGCTGCAGAGCCGAGGCCTGCTAAGGGGCTGTGGGAGCATGTGGCACGTGTGGCTGAGTCTGGGCACCTTCGGGTAACTGGCAGGGCCGTTGGTCGGGGGTGAGTAGATCTCCCTGAGGCGAGTGGTCCAGGGCCCTGCCGCCCGGATGTGCAGGCTGAGCGTGTCCTCATGGGGCGCGGAAGTCAGGGTGAAGGGGTGGTACTCGGTGGTCCCCAGAGCCAGGCAGGCGATCCGCACCCACTGTCCCGACTTGTACTCAAAGCCCTGGGGCCGCTGGAACTGCAGGTGGGTCACTCCTGAGGAGGGGAGGCGGGTGGGAGGCTGCTGTGTGGTCTCCAGAGAGTCTCCCCACTGCAGCCTCAGCTCTGCTTCTGGAATATGCCAGGGGGACCTCCCCCCATCAGAAGCCATTACTCCCCTCAGGCCAGGTCTGCCCTGAGGAGGGGCTGGTGGTCAGCAGGGCAAGGAACAGCCTGACCTGGGCTTCTCTCTGTTGTGAAAGAGACTCGGGTAAAGAGCTTCTTTTACCAGCTCCCTCATCCCTTCCACCCCAAGGCCCCTGCCAACTCCACTGGGCCAGGCTAGGACACTGCAAGGTCCAGGCTCTCCTCTGCTTCCTGGTACCACCAAGCTGGGTCCCTGACAGCCTCTCTGCTGGTACCTGAAGGCAGCAGCTCGGCCTTCACCACGCTGATCTCCACCTTCTTCCGGCTCAGGCTCACCAGCTTGTCCCCGCCGTAGATTAGTGCAGGGACCAGGAAGAAGATGTGGAAACGGGGCAGCTGGATCAGAGCGAAGCTGCCATGGATGATGAGCTGAATAGAGCGAAGAACACAACTCAGGCCCGGCCACACCCACAACGGGATCTGAGGCTGGCTCCGGGCTTAGGCCCCTGTATCTTTCCTCCTGGCATGTCCACGCCTCACCTCATTGTGCCCTGCTCCTTCCAGGTTCCAAAACCCAACCATTCCCAACCCCAGGTTCCAAAACACAACCATTCCCAAAGCATCCTTGATGAATAAGACTATTTGCATCTTTCCATGCTAGACCAAGCCATGCCAACTCTCCCCTGCACCCATGCTGTAGCCTCCTAACTGGTTTTCCCCATGTGATCGATTCTCTTCAAGGCAGCGAGTGTGACTTTATGAAGTTAATTTTATCATGTCACCCCCAGCTTTAAAAGCCTTAGCGGCCTTCCCATTGCCTGGTGATGCTCTGACCCCTGCCTGCCAAACATGGCAAGTCCTTTCTGCTCCAAGACCTTTGCACCTGCTGTGCCCTCTGCCAGCAGTGCTCTCCCCTGGCTCTTCCTAGATGATCTCCATCTCATGTGTCACGTCTCAGCAGACACACCAGCTCCCTGAGCACCCCCCTTTCGGGCCCACCTCTGTCCTCTCTATCACAGCCCTTGTCCACAATAATTGTGTTTCTCCATTCGTTGACCTATTCACTGTTGCGTTCCCCAGTGGACTGCTGGATTAGGCACTGCATCCATGTTCTTCGCCAATATACTCTCAGCTCCTAGTGGTTTCTGCCTGGCACATGGTAGGCACTCAATTACTGTTGAGTCAATGAAAGAAGTTCCCCCAGTTTACCTTCTCCCTTTGGAGTCTAAGAACACATAACCAGTCTCCGTTTTCCATGAGATAATGGACAGGCATTGTCCAGCTCTAGTCCTTTCCCCAATGGTCAGACGCTCCTTGCCCCATTCCTCCCACTAGCTTGCTCCTAAGTCTGCTCAGTCTGGCTTCCCCCTCAGGCTCTTCTCAGGATCTTCTCACTGAGGGCTCACGAATGGCCGAACCCCAAGGTGTCCTTCCAGACCACCTTTGCTCCCCGCCTTGGCACCTGTGGCACAGTGCCCCCCTCCCCTGCCACCTTGACACTCCTGCTACAATACAGTGCTCCCCTGAGTCTCCCTCCTCTCAGGCCACTCACTTTCCACCTCCTGCACTGATTGTTCCTTCTCCATCCCAACCCTTGTGTTGCCCAAGCCTGATTTCCTCACCCTCCACTTGTCTCTATGCTCTCCCACGGAACATGGCTCTCAGCTGAACCTCAGTCCCTCAGCTTCAGCGCAATCCACACAGGTCCACCATGTCCTGCCACCACCTAACAACGCCCGTGGCCAGGCAGCACTGTCTCCTCTGTGCCCTGAATATTCTGTCATCATTCACGCCTCCACACCTGTGCGCATGCCCTCCCTTCCACCTGGAGTGCTCCTCAGCTTCCCCTCTGCCCTGTCAAACCCTGGCTTATCTCTCCGTAAGGCCTGGCCCACGTCCCATCTTCTCTCCGAAGTCTTCCCTAACCAGTTTGGCCCAAATGAAACTGCCTTCAATGAGCTCCCATAACTTACTCTTCGGAACACTCAGCTCAGCAATTAATCCTGTATTGTCTGGTCATGTCCGTCATTTCTCACGCATGGCATTTACCTCTGCCACAGATCCTGAGGGCAGAACATCGAATCTCCCCTTCCCTGCAGGGCTTAGTACAAAGCTAGGACATAACAGACTCTCAGCACAACAGTTAAACCGAACTCTGGTTCCTCACTCAGCTCTCCCTGCCCCCGCCTGAGGGTCCCTGACCTCATGGGCCTTTCCCGGCAGGATTTACTTGAGCCTCTCAGAGGTCTGCTCTGCACGGGCTCCAGTTCCCCCAGTTCCTCTTTCATTGTGGGGCCCACGCCCACCCCCAAGGCTGTCTGAGCATCCAGCCAGGCTGAGAACAATGCCAGGGTGACCTCATGCTCTACACCCAGTTTGGTGTTGGCTCTGCTTTTTATCCACAATCTGCTGTTTGGCTGGGGACCTGGGGGAGCAGCCGCCAGCTCAGCTTTGGCTGTGCTAGCCCGGCCTCTCCAGCCTTCTCAGGGTCTCCCCCACCCTGGCTCCTTCTCTTTCTGCCAAAGGTCAAGGGGCCACGCCTGTGACAAATGGGAAGGAAGCGGGTGTTTTGGCCCTGACCTGCCCCCAGCTGCCAGGGTAGGGCTGCCCAGCGGAGGGGCCTTTCTGAGCTGCTGACTTCCCTGCTGGCAGGAAGGGTGGTTCTGAGCTCCAGTGAGTCTCCCAAACCAGACATTAATCAGAAAGGGGTCTTGGTCCCAGGGACCCCGCCTCCCATTAGTTCAAAGAAGCACCTCTTTCACCAGGAATAAGAACATCACCTCCACCCCTACCAGAAATGGCTCCACCCATTACGGAGGAGGTGGTGAGGAAGGGATAAATTAGCTTGAGAGAGATTTCTTCGGAAATAAACATCATCAATTCTAGGAAACAGCCTAAGCTGAGGTTGGGTAGTCATCTTCAGAACTGTGAAGTACCAAGCCTTGGACAAGAGAGAAGTAGACCCTCCTACCTATCAGTGAGGACAGAACAGCACCTGGGAGGAGAGCCCGTGTGCAGTTCTGCCTGGAGCCAATGACAGAGAGGGAAGCCATATAGACTCTGCATTTCTTTCTTTCTTTCTTTCTTTCCTTCTTTCTTTCTTTCTTTCTTTCTTTCTTTCTTTCTTTCTTTCTTTCTTTCTTTCTTTCTTTCTTTTTAAAATATATCTTATTGATTTTTTACAGAGAGAAAGGGAGAGGGATAGAAAGCTAGAAACATCGATGAGAGAGAAACACCAACCAGCTGCCTCTTGCACACCTCCCACTGGGGATGTGCCCGCAACCAATGTATTGTACATGCCCTTGACCGGAATCGAACCTGGGACCCCTCAGGCCGCAGACCAAAGCTCCATCCACTGAGCCAAACTGGTTTCGGCAAGACTCTGCATTTCTTAAACCTCCCAGCCAGGCTGTCATTGGTGGGGACACAGGAGCCGTGGGACTTAGTTTAGCTCCTCAGCAAGCAGGCCCTCAGGGTGCCCTTTTGGGAACTGCCCGTGTCCACGAGGAAGGCAGGCCAAACAGGACCATGACACAGGGGCACAGATCAAGGTCAGCTCCGAAGCAGCTGACAAACCCAGGGAAGGGGGAAGGGAGCAGGGCAGGAGGAAGGAGGGGATGTGAAGGCAGGCAGGCAGGAGCCCAGATTAAGGAGAAGGAAAGGGGAAGGTGGCCTTATAAATTCCGCTTGTCAACAGTCCAAGTGAAGGCTTCTGGAGCAAAGTCATGAACGTTATAGGTTGCACTTCGTTGGGTGGGGTGGCTAACATCTTAAAAAATGGGATCAGAACAAAAGCGGCAAAGCCCAGTTAAGAGAAGTTTCTCTAAAAAGGGGCAATAGGCCCTTGAGTGTAGGCAGCCCACCCTGGAGCCCTAACCGGCCACTCAAAGTGGAGAAAGGCTGGCTGGGCAAAATGATGTGGGGTCTCGGCTGGGAATGCAGATCCGTCTGCTAGAGCTGCTACTGCCAAACCCAGGCCGGCAAGTCCATCTCCGAGGGCTGCCCATCAGGGTGAGTCTGCTCGAAAGTCCCCTCCTATCATCTCCATCCTTTAAGTGACAAATGAAGAGGACACTTGAAATAACGAAGGGGACGGAGAGCCGCTGCCTCAGCCCTTGCTGCCTCCCTGGGAACTTCTTGCCCAGCCCCCATCAGAGCCAAAGGCCCTCACCAGGACGTAGAGCAGGATGTAGAGGTGGTGGGTCAGCCAGAAGCCCCGGAAACTGCGACGCCGGAAGTGGCGGGAGGCGAAGACGTACATGATGGCCAGGACCAGGAGCATAATGACCCCCGTGAGGCCTGCAAAATGAACAATGGCTCTGAAGGGCAAAGGAGCGAGGCTGCTCCGGGCCTGCCGGGGGCTTGGATCCCTCTTCCACCCCACTGTCCTAGAGAGAGTGGGGAAAGCCCAGCATCTTCTCCCGTTCCTCTCCCTTCACACCACTGGCACAGGTACCTCTCGCTTCTTACAGATCCTACTCATCCTTCATAGACTTTGCCATGATGTTTTTCAAGTACCTGTGTTTTATGTCCATCACTTTCCTGACTCTCAGGTTCACAAGAACAGGATCAGGCTAGGCTAGTTCACCGCTGAACCTAGTGTAGGGCCTGCACACCGGGGGCCTTATACAAATGGATGTTGAATAAATGAATGCATGGGGCTGGGACTCTGGACATGGCAGGCCCTGCCTTATGCAGTCCAGGCTTGTTCCCCGCCCCTGCAGCACTCCCCCCAGCTGCCACCGCACACAGCGTGAGCACTGTGAGTAAGTGCTACCCCGGAGGCCCGCCTGGGCTCAGCCCTGAGTTGGTGAGAGGTCCCTCTTCACAGGGAACCCCAGGCCTGGGCTACCCAGGAGCCAGAATGCGAATGCAGGGGTCAGAGGATGGCCCCTCGAGTGATGGAGGAGGAGAGAGTCAGAAATTAGGAAGATGAGAGCCCTGAAGAATGGCAAAGCAGAGGTTAAGGAGGGATCTAACCAAAGCCTGTCAAGTACAGAAGGGAGAGGAGAGCATAAATACGGCCTTATCCTGGAAATCCCTGTGTGCAGGAATTAGCAGGCACTCTCTGAAGTTTAGAGCAGATCATTTTAGGATTAAAAAAATAACAAAGTACAAAACTGTGCTTTGCTTCATAGAAGAGTGAGTGTAGAAGACGTGTTACCCCAAGGAAGGAACAGATTGAAGATGTAAGTAAGTTCAAGAAGCGTTTGATTCACAGCTAATAGCCCTAAAATGGGTGATTATGGGGAGTTAGAAATATGCCTTAAACAGTCCTTATCAAGACAGACTAAAACGGGTGTATGTGTGTGGGGGGGGTTCTGCCTGACTTGACAAAGATACTGGTCCCTCCCCCATGCAACTGGGGCACGACATTTCTCGGAAGCACTGCCAGGGCAGGTGTGTGCAGTAGGGGTGAGGCGGGGCACCCCTCCCATCACACAGAGGGAGGAACTAGTTCAGAGCTGGGATGGGAGCCCAGTCAAGCTCCTGCCCAGGAGCGTCCTGGGGGCCGGAGGGCAGAGCGTGACTGACCGTGAGAGCCAGTGAGTGCGCCTGGGCTGCTCTGTTGGCAGAGAGAACCTGGCAGGAGGGACGGGGCCCAGGAAGGGCTCTCACCTGGCACGGTCTGGAAGAACCACCAGTAATACTTCCGGGGGAACTCGGACCTGTGGGGAAGGGGACGCAAGGGAGGACCCTGAGAGGAGATGTCTGGGACTTCCCGATGAGGCACCCCAACCCAGCCACAGTCCCCCTTTCTGCTGACTCAGGGCGGGGGCGGGGGCGGGGGCTCAGGCTGGTCATTGTCTGTCCTATGACCTGGAAGGTGACACTCTCCTCTGAGCAGAGATCATTTGGTTCTTTCCACTCA